AGAGAGAGAGAGAGAGAGAGAGAGAGAGAGAGAGAGAGAGAGAGAGAAGATAAGGGCAAGAAAAGTGGGCGAAAGAGAGAGAGAGAGAGCGAGAGGAGTTTGCCGTGCGGGGCTGAGTGGACCTGGTCAGTATGACCTTCGGAAAGTGTACTTTTGCCAGACAGAGAACGATGATACCGATAAGTTCCGGGCTGAGGCGAGCGCCGCGCGACGCCTTGTATTCATGAGCCGCGGCCCATTCTATACCATACGGGCCGTGCGCCCTGTAACGTATAAACCACCCTTGTTTGCGCCCGCACCATACACTTCAGCTCGGACCCCATTACATTTCTTTTGGACCATCTGGATTGTGTTTCCCACAGAGTGCCGCCATGACGTCACATCATATCCGCCCGCGCACGTTCGGTCGCTGCTCTACATTTCTATGGCGCTCGTTTCGGGAAATGGAGTGGTGTGGTGGCCGAATGAATGGGAGTACCGCCGGGCTCCGCCGGGCGGGTCCAACTTTTTGCCAGTCGAGTCGGCCCGGCGGCAGCAGCCCTCCTGGCGCTGGCAGCGGGTGGGTGGAGAAGGGATACAAGGGAGCGTGAATAGTAAGTTTAAGCTAATACCGGACAGAAGGTAAAGCCGAAGGGCCGGCCAGCAGTGCAGGTGAGGGGAGAGGGGCCGGGAGGTGTGACGGGTTAAGGGCGGAGCGGAGCGGAAGCGACAGGGTACAGGATGAGGAGGGTCAATAAGGTAAGCCAGGGACAGAAGGGCTCTTATTTGTACTCGGGTACCCGGTCGGACCTCGGGTGGACTTCGGGTGGACTTCGCTTGGACCTCGTGTGGGCTTCAGATGAGCTTCAGGCAGGCTTCAGGTGGACCCCAGGTAGGCCTCGGGTGGGCCTCAGGTAGCCACGTGTGGCCTCGGCTGGGCCTCGGGGTATAGGGTATAGGGCCTCGGCTGGGCCCCAGGCGCCGCCGGCCGCCGCCGCACTACTTTGCAAACAAGCCGCGCAGGCCTGCCTTTCACGGCGGCAACACCTGCTCAGCCGCGGTTACGTTTCGCCTCGAGAGATTCCATCACGCGCACAACTTTTCATGCCTGCGCCGAGAGGCGCCCCCGCTCGCCGCCCCTCCCTCCCCATCACCCCTTTCACCGCTCGGGCGGGACGACACGTGCAATGAGTGAAGGCGCACTGCCACACAGCGGCGCTGCGAACCGTGTGAGCACTAGTGAGCAGCAGGCAGCTCGTTCCGAGTCACATTTTACATGGCGTGGAAGCTCCTTTCGGGGGACGGCGGGATGAGGCACGGAAAAGAGAAGGAAAACCAAACATGAAAGAAAAATAGAGAAAATAGGCCGAGGCGAGGCAACTCGAAACGGCGGCGGATAAATAAAGCGTAAAAATAAATGGTTAATCGGGACGGGACACTGAATCTTCCGACAGGATCCCACGGGAGATTGGCGAAGCGGGGATCGTCCCAGAGGACACCCGGGAAGGTCAAACTCACCGTTCTTTTTGTAGAAAATAACCTCCAGCTTAAGCTCAGTCTTGTTCTCGAGAGCCTTGTCGATGGCCAGCTTGTGCTCGTCACGGGTCTCGGCGCCGTAGAGAAACTTGCAGGCGCAGCCCTTCTGCATGATCTGGGCGCGGGCGAATCCGGTGAGCTCGCAGAATCCATCGGAGCAGTAGACAATCGGGTGCACATTGGACACCTGAGCGTTGCCCAGGACAAAATTGCTGTCTGTAAACAGAAAGAAGGGAAGCAATCGTTAGACCTCGGTCGTTACTCGACTCGCAAAGCCGTAAACTTATTATAGCTTTGACAGTTTTTCATGAGAGCACGACACGGAAGTGACCCCTCAAACCGGATCGGACCCCAACTGGGCAGCTCCGTGCCGAAATGTCTTAATCACCAATAAGGAAAGTTCCGTCTAACGATCCCCCAGTTTGAGAAGCATTCGCCCCACCCTCGGCGATCAACCTCGAGTGCCCTGGAGCTACAAACCTACACTGTTGCACAAAAGTCCGGATTATTACTCATCCTAGTCGTAAAAATAAAACCAGGGGCAGTGTAACCACGAGAGAGGCCTGCAACTTATACTAAAGTGCGTGAGTTGGGGACGCGTATGGCCTCACACTCTAAAAATAAAAAAATGAAAATGTAAAAAAAAGAAAAAGGTAAAGGCAGAAATGAGGCCAGGCAAGGGGAGAAAGAGCGAGGAATGAGAGAAACTGTAAAAGAGTGCGCTCACACGCACAGTAGAAACCTCCCCCACCCCCTTCCCCCTCTCCGCTCACACGCTCAGTGGAAGCCTAACCCCTGGCCCCAGCCCCTCCCCCTCGCTCTCTCGCTAACGCGAGCAGAAAACTTTCCCGACCAGATTCGTATACTGTATACGGCTTCGGCCGCCATCAGCCCGCCCGCCGTGCCTGGGCGCCACTCGATAGGCGCGGGCTTCCACGGCTACTTTATTGGGGAATGACGACTTATTTCCCCGCAAGCGTATCCCACTTAGTCCAATCCAAATGCAAACTTTTCGCCGAGCTCCTTTACCCGCCCACCGCCCACCCCCCTTCGACAGCGTCCGAACTGACAGTGTCCTCCCGAGGCGATCACACCCCTAGCAGTAGGGGAGGATAGTGAGGGGGCAGCTGCTGTGCCACACTGGGCCGACGCTGCTGACACGACCCCAGCACACTACGTCATGGAGGAGAGAAAAAGAGAGAAAGGGAAGAAAAAAATGCACCTGCGGGCCGGAGCGGGCTATCAATAATAAATCACTTTGGGGCGCGTCCGTCGCGCTCGCCGGTCGCTCCGGACGCGTCCTCGGTCAGATGAAAGGGCGGCCGCGGCGCCGTCGGGGAGGACGGCGTGAATAGTGGGGGGCGGGGAGGGAAGGGGAGATCGAGGGTGACAGATAGGGAGAGAGGGGGGAGGGGGCAGGTTGGGAAGAAGGCGCGCAGGGCCTAGGGCGATGGGGTCAGCCGCTCTCCTTCATGCACGCTCTAGTTCACTGTTAACTTGCAGGGAAGGCTGTTCTAATCCCCATGACCCCCCCCCCCTTCCCCATCAGCCCGCCTCCAACCGCACAGCAACCCTGCTTCTTTTAATCACAAGCCATGGGGAGAGGTGGGGGAGAGGTCGGGGAGAGGTGTTTAAAGGTGACTAAAAAAACATC